GGTGTGTGTGTGTGTGTGTGTGTGTGTGTGTGTGTGTGTGTGTAAGGGCAACCAGGAAAGGTTCAGGAGTGGCTGAAGACCCTTCTCAACTCCATCACATCCCTGTCCCCACCCCATCTGGAGCGTGGTGGGCTGGAAGAGGAGGGGGCTCTTCCTCCACATTGTCCTCATTGGGGACAGAGTGGGGTGGGTCCAACAGGTGCTGGGAGGGTGTTTGGTGGCTGGTACATCCCTGTTTGGACCCTTGCCTGTTGTTCCCAGTATTCGCAGACACAGTTCAGCCTCCAGAGCCCCCTCACTTGCATGCTGGTCGCTAGAAAGAGAAAGTTCCTGCCCAGTCACCCCCTGCCTCCAACCAGCAGTTCCTGGGCACGCTGAGCCACATTGCTGGGTGGAGGGCCCGGGTGAGCCGATGGGGAACAGGCCTGGCCACTTCTCTTCCTGGGCATGGCCAGGCACAAGACAGCAGCGAGCAGGGCTGGACCCAGGCCAGCTCCCTGGGGCAAGAGGGAGGGGTCAGGCAGCCCAGGCGGTGAGGAGGGGCGCAGGCCCAGCCCCAGGTGCCAAGTGGGGTGGAGCAGGCAGTGGGCGGAAGTTGGGACTTGGGGGTTGAGAATGGACAGCACCTTGGGCCCCTTCCATCCGCCTCCCCGCTTTCATGTGCATGATGGGGGGCATGGGGACGTGTTGTGGAGCGCTGGGAGCACCCGGCTCCACCCACCCAGAAACTAGAAGTCCTAGTGAAAGGCGCTCGTTTTCAGGACCCTGACCCCAGGCCTCCGCGAGGATCCTCAACCTGGAGCATCAAGCCAGAGTAGGGGTCCTAGCAGCACGGGGGCTCGGGGTGTCAGTAATGGCGGGTCCGAGGGGAACAAGCTGCACCGCTGCGCTCCCCACGGATCTGGATCGCGCGTGGGGGGGGGCGTGCGCAGAGAAACAGCAGAAGCCTGTCTGGAGGGCCCCACTACTTTTGCAAGCCCTAATCCCACGGCCCCCCTGCACACTGCTCCCCCAAACACCGCTGGCGACGCTGAGCTCACCTACCGCCGCCCGCCGACTTGTTCTCTTTAAGCCCGGGGGGAGGCTGGCCCGCGGCAGCGCTGCTCCGATCCCTGCAGACGGGCGGAGGTGGGGCGCGACAGAGGCGGGGCGCGGGGGTCCTGACAGGCCGCGTCGGGATCCGTGTTGCTGAGCTCGGTGGCGGGTCCCGCTGCCCGCCGCGCTGGACCAAGGCTGGAGCAGGCGCAGCCAGGCCCGCCCCCGAGGGCCCCGCCCCGCCCACCACGACCCGCCCCCGGCCCGCTCGGGCCCCGCCCAACTCGGCCGGCTCCACGAACCCCCTTCCACCACGGCCCGCCCCCGGGTCGCCTCCCAGCCCGCCTCCTCCCAACGAAGCGCGGCCCCTTGTCCCCGTCCAGGCCGCCCTCTCCTGCTAACCCCGCCCCCATGTCCCCTCCCAGCCGCGTCCACGCTCCGACCCCTATCCGCCTGGCCCGCCCCCTTAGCCCAGCCCACCACCCATGACCCCCCCTCCTTAGGCCCACCCTGCGCGGCCCCTTCTCAGCCTAGCCCCCTCCTCGCCCTTTGGCCGCCTTCGGGGATTCCGCGGGCTCATCTGAGCGGGGCTGGGGTCATCTCCCCCCCGGCGGCCGCGTCGGGACGGGCTTCGCGGTGGCTCTGCGGGGAGCCACCCTCCCGCCCCGCACCCACCCTTAGTTCCGTAACTCCGGGAACTAGACCGCGGGGTGCCGGGTCATGGCCGCGCTAAGGTGGGCGAGAGCGGAGCGCGAGAGAAAGGAGAAGACGAACCAGAGGTCTGGGGGCCGCAGTCGGGGCGCCCCGCGCGCGGGGGCTCTGTGCAGGCCTGGATCTGGGTCCTCGTTGGGACTTCAGGCTCGAGACCCCTCTCTCAGAGACGGAGAACCTAGCTGGTTGGCTGGGGTGGGGGGCGCTGTCCGGGGGTGCCGGTCAGGCTAGTGGGTGCGCAGCCGGTGTCCCAGATCCGAGAGAAGAGGGGCGGGGGGCAGGTGAACTCAGCAGGCGCCTGAGATGGGGTGGGAATCGGAGGGCGCTCCGCCAGCGTGTGTCCGCCCACCTTCGCCGCCCCTCCGAGTGAGCAAGGGCGGAATGGGGTCTATTGTCTGGTCCTCCTGAGCCGCGCGCGCCTTCCGACGAAGTGCTGCTACCACCTGCTGGCGCATCCCAGGAACACAAGCCGGTGGTCCCCGCGTCGCCCCTGCCAGTCCCTCATCGCCATCGGCCTGGGGGCGCAGACCCCGTCCCGTCTTCTCCCCCCTCTTCCTTCATTAACACACCTGTATCCATCCGGTCTCTAACCGCGCTGGGCAGAGGAGGACGGGTGATGGCAGGGTGCATTCGCGTGCTGCCCGCACAGAAATCGAACAAAGAGACTCTTGATGGGGCGCTGGGAGGCAGGCCAGCGCTCACGCTGAGACTTACTGAGCGAAGCCCGGCAGGACAAAGCTGCAGAACTCATCTCCGCATGGCCAGGGGCCTGTTAACATCTCAAGTCAATTAATAAGCCTCTGTGATCCCACATGGGGACACTATTAATAAGTCCATTTGGACTGGCCAGCGCTGAGCTTGCTTCTTGGCTCTGAAACTCAGAGATACATTTCCTCCTCACCAAGGCCCTCAAAGACATCTGTAAAGAAAGTTGAATTTACACCGTTTGTGATCGGCAGTTCAAAACAACCAGCAGGTCCTCAGGAGAAAGGAGGGGCTTTCTACTCCCCAAAAGAGTTACAGTCTGGGAAACCCACAGGGACATTTCTACCCCGTCCTGTGGGGTCTCTATGGGTCAGAAGGAACTCAATGTCAGTTGTTTGAGTTCAGTTTGTGATGCTATGTAACTCATGACATGAGTCTGCAGAAAACCTTGAAGAAGAAAAAAAACTAATCAAATTCTGTTAATGTGAAATTATCAACAAAACGCAAACAGAATGCTACAAACCCCAGCCATCCAGTCACTAATTGCAACACAGCGGGTGCTGACAGGGGAGTAATCCTGAGTGTACACCTGCCATATCTGACAGATGGCCCCCTGTCTTCAGGGGCCACCTGGTTGACTCGGGACATAACACAAGGCAACGCATCCCACGATCGCTGTGGACCACACTCTTAGATCCATAGGCTTTACATGGACTACTTTTCGGAAGTCGATCACCACGCCTTTCTTCGTAGACTACCCTAGTTAGGGACCCTCGGCTGACACCTGCTCATTCCGGCGCCTGGGACCTGAGATTCAGACTTTATTGGGACCGGCCTGTGTCCGGTGATTTGTGTTGTTCTTTGGTCAATAACACTTGAGCGGCATCCGGTCAGCAGAGAGAGCAGCCCTGTACTGCGGGGGCAGAGCCGCGCATGACCGGTCTGTGTCAGGATCAGCACCGGCACGTCTTCATCGTCGGAGGACAGCACTGCAGGTTTCCCGCCATTCCTTGGCTGCCGGAATTGCTGCTACCATGTGTCCAGGGCTTGCTTAGAAATGCTCTCCGACCGTGAATAAAAATAATCCTATTTAAAGTTGTTCTGTGCTGAAGGGCAGAGCCTGGCTCCGTTTGGGGCTCAGAGCAGGTATCATCTGGGGACACAGCCGTCTCATGCGTGATTGAAGCCAACAGCAACGCTCCTTGCTGCGTAGGCTTCTTTCTCCAGGTAGAGGGTGGCTGGCTCCCTTACCAGCCAGCCTCTTCTCTCTGAGTTTTTGCCTCCTTCCTGGGATTTTTCTTCTCTTCAATACCCCTCACCCCTGGCCCTCAGGAGCTGCAAAATTTCTTCCTGATTTCCCGTAAGAACAGTGAACACGCTGGCAGTATGGTACACAAAGAGCTATACCAGTCAACCTGGTGCTAAGAGAGAGTTCTAGACAAAAGCAATGAAGATGTGCCCTGAACCCTAGTTCAGCAGGACCGTTGGCTGCAGGCCAGATGTTCACCTCTTGGCCACCAGGGCCCCTCCCTAAATTTCCAGGGCCTCCCCTGTGCCCCCAAGCTGAAGTCTGTCTTTCCAAACCGCCCCCACCCAGGCCCCAAATAAAACTGTCAAATGTCTTGTTACACAACCAAATCTCTCCCTCCCTGCCCACCCCCCACTCCCTGTCTAGAAGCTTCTGGCATCTTCTAGGTTCACCTCAAACTAAAAATTCTCTGTCCTGGAGTCAGTTCCTACTCACAGAGACCCTACAGGACAGGGCAGAACTGCCCCTGTGGGTTTCCAAGAGTGTAACTCCCTGGGAGTTGATAATGTAACCCACGTTATTTTCCTGAAAAAAAGACTTACAGACATTGAGTCCTTTTCAAGGCATAGTGACCCTACAAGACAGGGCAGAACTGCCCCTGTGGGTTTCTGAGACTGTCGCTCTTTGTGGGAGTAGAGAGCCCCATCCGTCTTCCAGAGAGCAGCCAGTGGACTCAAACTGCTGACGTTCAAGATCACATTCTCACATGTAAACGCTTCCAGGGCTGGGTTATTTGAAAGACAAACCAAGCAGGGCTTCAAATGGGTTCTTTGAGGTTCTGCCTCCTGCTGGGCAGGGTGCCCATCCACCCCAGCTATGCTGAATGGGGATCTCCAGGTGACTTTATGTGTATATAAGAACCCTCCTTCCCCCATCCTCCCTAAGCTGTAAGAACCATCTGGGGCTCATGTCAAATTGTAGATTCAGATTCAACATAACAGAGGTGGAAAGGCAAGTTCACAACAGGGGTTGAACACACTGGCTTGGAGCTGAATTGTACTTGAGGGCTGATTGCCACTGGGGCTGCCCAATGGGTGTGGCACATACCTGATGGACACCCGGGCAGCCCAATGAAAGTGAGTGGGTTACAAGCCTCCCTCAGAGATGTCTCCCAAGATCCAGTGACCTTTGCTGAGCACTTCAGAAGAAGGGGTGCATGACACCTAGCCCCCACTCGCATGGCTAGGGTTACCAGTGGCTCTGGCTACCTAGGGCTATGGCTATCAAAGGCTATGGCTATCAAAGGCTATGGTTATCAATGGGTATGGCTTTAAAGGACTCTGAATATCAAGGGCTATGGTTCTCAGTGTCTAGAATTCTCAATGGCTATGGCTATCAAAGGCTGTGGGTCTCAAAGGCTATGTTTCTCAATGGTTCTGGTTCGCAATGGCTAGGGTTATCAGTGACTATGGCTCTCAATGGCTCTGGTTCTCAATGGCTAGGGTTATCAGTGGCTCTGGCTGCCAAGTCTTCTTTTCGGAGTACCTCCAAGTGGACACAAACGGGAGGCCTTTCAATGAGCAGCCAGGCATGTCACCATTTGCAAACCCAGGGACTGTTTGCAATGATGGATGCCTTTTACAAGACCCCATTCCTTGGTGTATTGTCTTGTGGCATTCTCTCTGAGACCGTTGTTGGAAATGTACATTCCTTCCTTTATACTGTGAGTTTAAATCAATGCTGACAAAGTCTCAGATGATGATGAGGAACTGGCTGGGGTGGATTGCAATGGTAAAGTGAGCTCCTTGATCCACAACTATGCCACCAACTCAGAAGAAAAAGTGTGAGAGTAACACACACACACACACACACACACAAACATGCCTTGGCTCTAAGAGAAGCCAGCTCATTAGCTGCCATCCAGTCTGTTGGGCTGTCTTAGTCTGGAAGCCCCAGGGAAGCCAGCTCAGCCCCACAGCAACACTCCAGCAGCCTCCACAGAGAGTGGCTGGCCACTCTTGCACAGCAAGAGGTGCATGGCCCAATGAAGAACCAAAGTATCCGGCATGGAAGGTTGGAGTGCTCACCTGGAGCCACCGATGTCCCCATATAAGCAAGAAGGGTGGAACACACTCCACATGTCAGCCAGTGAGCGTCTGTGTAGTCTCCTGTGCCCCCCACAACAAAGGGGTGGGGTGTTCTGCCCTTGGCTTCAAGCTTCAGACCCAGATCATTTACATCAAGGAGCATATTTTCTTCAGCTCTGGGTCCCAGGGGTACTGTCTCATCACACCCACATCTCACGGCGGAGGTGGTCACCTGCATGGCTCTGGGGTTGGCCTGCCAGCTCCATCCCTTGCATTTCTCCCATGCCTGCCTGGCCACTCCTCTGGGTGGATGGGACAGCTGCAGCTCGCCAGGCTGCTGGGTGCCCTCTTGTCTTAGATGCTCTGCCCCCTCCTCCCCCCCAATTCAAACAGGACCCAGCATGTTCCCATCGTCCCTTTAAACACCAACAGCAAACGGGGACAAGTCAGCATCGAGAGCATGTTCATACACAACAACCACAACAGAACCGAGAGCTTCAAAGCAAATCTGAGCAAATGGAAAAGCAACAAAGATGTCAGAGTTTCAGGAAAGCAGCTTCTGCGATATTTTTGAATGCGTTACAAGTAGAGATGGATGGATACAACCTCAAAATGCTGGGGGCGGGGGGAGCAGAGAGACACATAGTGACCAAAATAAAACTTCAGTGGTGCAGGGGGTGGAAATGACGTCACCTCCAGGGAAACCATGTCAGTCAAATATCAGATGAGCCTAGTGAGACATACATAGATGCATTTTTAAATAGCAGAGGAGGTAAAGGATTGGGAAACTTCAATAGGGAGTTATACACTTAAAAGATAACAGGAAAAAAAAAGATAACAGAGATGCTAGAAGGGAGAGCCAGATCAAATAAAAGGAAGTATATTTTAAATGTATAAAACCAAAACTCAAATTCACTGCCATAAGGTCGTTTCCAATATAGGAGGTGGTACCCCACCACCACAAAAAAAACAAAACAAAACTGGAAGGTTTCCCCCAAAGATATGTATTTAAATTTTCCCTCCCCTCTCACCCTCATGGCCCCATGATAGATTATAAATTAATATTATGTTCATATCTCACAGCAACTGCTGTCTCCCTTCCCCCATGGTTTCTGTTGTTCTCCCCCCTGGAGGAGGTGAGTGGTTATGTGCCAATCATTACAAACAGTTCCCTTTTCCTTTGCTCCCCTCCCTCCTTCCCCCTACCCTTTTGGTATCAGTATTCCCATTCCTGTTCCTGGATTCCATGTATCTTGAGCTTTATCTCTT